CTCCATGGACTATCACAAAGGTCGGTCCCAAAGCTGGCCTGAGCAGCCACTGAATCTGCCACATCGCAGATCTGGTGAGCTGATTTGCAATACAACAACAACAACAACTTAGATTTATATAACGCCCTCTACTACGGACGGCGTCCCAGAGCGCTTCAAAGTAACGAATCCCGGGGCCGAGCCAGGGGGAGGGGAAGAAAGATTACCAAAGGCATGGTCGAAAAAAAGGTCTTCAGTAGGGACCTGAAAGTAGAAAGAGAGGGGGCGAGGCGAATAATAATAATAATAATAATCCTTGCATTTGATATAGCGCTTTTCACGTCGGGAGGACGTCCCAAAGCGCTTCACAGAATATACTGTAAAGTGAGTTGACTGTATATTTGTGGGCGAACGCGGCAGCCAATTGCGCACAGCAATGTCCCACAAACAGTCATAGATTGAAAATGACCAATTTAATTATTGTTTTTGGAGGGATTATTATTAGGCGTGTGGAGTAAGGAAACTTGCCCAAGGTTTCGCCCTGCCTGGAATTGAACTCAGGTCTCTCGCTTGCAAAGCGAGTGCTCTAACCACTGAGCTACAGGACTCCACAGGCGAAGGGAGTGATTAAGGGAATTCCAGAGCCTTGGGGCATAGTGGCTGAAGGCACGGCACCAAGAGTGGAGCGGTGAACTCAGGGAACGAGGAGGAAGCCAGACCCGGAGGAACAAAGGCAATGAGTACTATTTTGAGGAGAGAGGAGGTCAGAGAGGTAGGGGGGTGGTTAGGAGTGAAGGGATTTGAATGCAAAGGTGAGGATCTTGAAATCGATCCTCTCTGGGATAGGCAGCCGGTGCAGTCTGGCAAGGACTGGGGTAATCGGGGAATGTAGTTTGGTGCGGGTGAGAATGCGGGCAACAGAGTTTTGGATGATTTGGATTTTATGGATGGTGGTGGATGGGAGACCGGTGAGGAGGGCATTAGAGTAGTTCAGCCTAGGGGTGACAAAGGCATGGACTAGGGTTTCAGCGGCCTTCAGAGAGAGTTATTTACGGAGACGGGCGATGCGTCAGAGGTGGAAGAAAGCGGTGCTGGTGAGGGACCGGATATGGGGGAGGAAGGACAATTGGGGGTCGAACCTGATGCCAAGGTTGCGTACGGGTTCGGAGAGTTTTAGGCGGAGGTTGGGTAGGTGGAGGAGGTGAGAGCTGTGGGATTTGATTTGTTGACGAGAGCCAAAGAGTATACACAAGGGAAGTAAGTGATTACCAGGTGTATTAAGAGATAATGTGAAGGTTCAAAGAAATAGTGTTGTTCCAGATCGGCCGTGATCTAATAAAATGGAGGAGCAGGATCGACTGGCTGAGGTCTACTCCTGTTCCTATGTTCGTATAACATCTTAACTCTGATTATTTTTTGTTGAGTAGTCGCAATCCTGCTAACTGACATTCCAATGGCTAAGGGTTAGCATGTGCATATTTCATGCTGTATTTTTTGCCCATCAGATGGGGAGAGGAGGGGAAGGGTCACACTGCAAGATCAGCTTTGCTATCGACTGGGCATGTTGGCCACATTCTATCAACAATCCAATAATTATCAACAAACAAAGCTATTTTAACTTTCTTACCCCCACCCCTCCATAACACTAATGCATATCACTTGTCATTGCTTGTCTGCAGATTATGGAAGTCGAGTGAAAGAAAGAAAACCCTGAAAATCTGGAGGAGCCCAACACAAGATTGGGGGTTTGGATGAAGAAACTTCCTTTGGCTCATCTGATCTCATCCTTCCAGAAGATCCACCCTACTCTACTTCTATTAGAGTATCAAGCTTTTTTTTTAATGAGTCCAGTGTCCTTGCCTCTACCATCCTTGCTGGCAACTTGGTCCAGTCGTTGATTACCCTCTGAGTAAAGAAAAACTTTGTGCAATCTGTCCCGAAATTGCCCTTTACAACTCTAAACCTATGTCCTCTTGTTCTACTGTCTTGATGCATCCTGAAGTAGTGATCTGAGATTACTTTTTCAGCCCAGTCTCTAAGCTCCCCAGGGCTAAGACAGACTTATGGATAGGTGCGGCACTGTGCATAAACAGGAAATGAGTACAGCTGTCACAATAAATGCAACAAGCCTTCTGAGAGGTAGATATGTATGGCACACATTTTCTGCTGCAGATGACCAAATGAATCACAGTTTTAAATATTTATGGAGCTGAATTTTAAAATGCATTTACCCTCTGCCATTACTTCAGCCCATTAAGAAATAGAGCAAGATATACATGGCTGATGGCACATTAACATTTTATAGGCTGCAACCGTATCCTATTCCATGCTAATTAAAACCAATTAAGATGTTTAAGTAATATTTAACGGTTTTCAGCCTGACCTCACCTATTTTTTAAAAATAAATTACTTCCATTTCATACAATCCTGCTACAAGTACTTAGCGAGGAAGAAGACAGTGGAGATCATTGCTTTTCAGTTAATGGCCTTAAGAAAGTGCATTATCTTTTCTGCTACTTCCCACTTTTCAAAGAATCACAAAATATTACAACACAGAAACAGACCATTAGCCCACAAAACACGCAGTCAATTCACTTTACAGTATAAACAAAACGCAAAATTATGCAGATGCTGGAAATCTGAAACAAAAACAGAATTCACTGGGAACACTCAGCAGGTCAGGCAGCATCTATGGAGAAAGGAAAGTGAGTCAACGTTTCGGGTCCACGACCCTTCGTCAGAACCAGGGCATGTTGGGAAGGAGAGGCTTTTAAGGCCTAACAGAGAAGTGGGAGGCAGGGTAACGAAAACAAAGGAGAAAATGGGGTAGAGGACATGGGATGATGGGTTAAAGAGGTGTTAATGATGAAAAATAAATGGGGGGTGAAAATTGCAACAAAACAGGTTGACCTGAGAGAGAGAGATGTGGGACCCAGATGATGTGGTATTGATCTCAGAAGGTGGTGGGGAAGATGAGCTGTTATGGCCTGCAATTGTTGAAATCAATATTGAGGCCAGAGGGCTGTAAGGTCCCTAGCAGATAAATGAGGTGCTGTTCCTTGAGCTTGCGCTGTGGTTCAGTGTAGGAGACCATGGATGGAGAGGTCAGAGTGTGAGTGGGCGGGACAGTTGAATGGCAAGAAATCAGAAGTTCAGAGTTGCGCTTACATTTGTATAGCACCTTTCATGTCAGGAGGACATCCCAAGGCGCTGGACAGGAGAGTTACGGACCTGAGCTGAGGGTCGGGGAGGGGGAGGGTGGAGGGCAGGGGGCGGGAAGCAGGGAGATTGAAAGCATGGTTGAAGAGGAGGGTCTTGAGGTGGGTCTTGAAGGTGGCGAGGGAGGGGGCGAGATGGAGGGACTGTGGGATGGAGTTCCAGAGGGTGGGGGCAGAGTGGCGGAAGGCCCGCCCGCCAATAGTGGGGCGAGCAAGGTTGGGGACGTGAAGCTGGCCGGAGCCTGGTGAACGGAGGCAGCGAACAGGGTGGTAGGGGGTTAGGAGGTTGGAGAGGTACGGGGGAGCAAGACCGTGGAGGGCTTTGAAAGTGAGGACCAGGATCTTGAACTGTATCCTTTGTGTGATGCCAGTGGAGTTGGGCAAGGATGGGAGTGATAGTGTCACGGAGCCTAGTGCGGGAGAGGACACAGGTTGGAGAGTTCTGGATGATCTGCAGCCTTTGGAGGAAGGAGTTGGGGAGGCCGACAAGCAATGAGTTTGCATAGTTGAGCCTTGATGTAATGAAGGTATGTATGAGGGTTTCGGCGGCCTGCGGTGTGAGACAGCGGCGGAACCGGGTGACGTTGCGGAGGTGGGGGAAGGCAGAGCGGGTCATGGCGCAGATGTGGGGTAGAAAGGATAGCTGAGGGTCAAACAAGATCCCAACAAGAATGGAGGTGTTCGGTAAATCGGTCGCCCAATCTGAGTTTGGTATCCCCAATGTAGAGGAGACCACATCGTGAGCAGTGAATGCAGTAAACTACATTGGTGGTTTTGGACCTAAATCGCTGTCTCACTTGAAAACTCACCTGAAAATTTTCTCCTTTGTCTTCCTTGCCGTGCCTCCCAGGGCCCTCTCTGTTAGCCCTTAAAACCCTCTCTCCCCCATCATGCCCCAGTTCTGATGAAGGGTCACGGACCCAAAAAGTTGACTCACTTTCCTTTCTCCATAGATGCTGCCTGACCTGCTAAGTGTGCCCAGCGACTTCTGTTTTTGTTTCACTTTACAGTGTATTCTGTGAAGCATTTTGAGGCGTCTAGAAGATGTGACAAGGCGCTATATCGAATGCCAGGATTACTATTATATCTAGGCTTTTTCTCCACATAAGCCAGCGAGTTCAGCCATTCTGAATTCACTTTCTGGAACTCCATCCCAGAATCCCTCCAGTCTTTCCCTTTCTTTATGCCTCCAAGGCACATCTTGACTTGTGTTTTTCATCCCACTTATGACCACCTTCCCTTCCTCCACCTCGGTCCGTGCTGATGTTTGCACTTTACACCATTAATTTGTCCGGTTATTTTAAGCAAGTAAAAATACAGATGTCAGATATTTAATGCTGCACATTCTCTACCACTTTCTCAGATTTTTTCACGGAAAACATTTAATTAGCTGCTTCACAAGATACCAGTCTGACCTTTTGTAATCCAAAGCAATCAGTTACTATAGACTCTCGACTGCAATTTATCTCTGGATGATAATTGCCAATGGTGACAATATTTTCTTTATCCTGCTTAAATTTCAAGCATCAAATTTTGAAATTGTTGAAGAATATTTTGTTTGAAATTGTTAAAGACGCTTTAAATCTCAAAATTTAGATCCCACAGAATTGTGGAAAATTCTTAAATTCAGACTTAATTTGAAGCCATTTATTTTTAAGACCTGCAGAAATCCAGCTTCCTAATCAGTTGTGCATTGAACAATTTTGTACATTTGTGCCTCATTGTACCTTAGATTGTAAAACAAATCAGTTTTGTGCCTAGTAATCTCAAACAGCACAAACAAATTTAAATCTCAAAATTTACCTTGGAATTGTCTGTCCAGCATGTTCCTGGTGATAATCAGCCCATCTTTCTTGGTTCCTCCTGCTGCGAGTGTCTCATTCAGAGCCATGGCATACAGCGTGATACCATCATAGAAACAGCCAGCAATAAAATTAATCTGCAAAAGAACAGTGCAGGTAAGCAGTCAATACGTATAACTACAATTGGAGAATGTGAATTGCATGTTGGGCCAATAGCCCACGGGCTAACCCGTGATCAACACATTTAGCTACCCTCAAATTTGCAATTTGTCACATATAATAAGCATAAAGGGTGATAATAATAATAATAATAATAATAATAATCCTTGCATTTGATATAGCGCTTTTCACGTCAGGAGGACGTCCCAAAGCGCTTCACAGAATACACTGTAAAGTGAATTGACTGTATATTTGTGGGCGAACGCGGCAGCCAATTGCGCACAGCAATGTCCCACAAACAGTCGTAGATTGAAAATGACCAATTTAATTATTGTTTTTGGTTTTGGAGGGATTATTATTAGGCGTGTGGAGTAAGGAAACTTGCCCAAGGTTTCGCCCTCTGCCTGGAATTGAACTCAGGTCTCTCACTTGCAAAGCGAGTGCTCTAACCACTGAGCTACAGGACTCCACAACCAAATTAGTGCTCATTAAATAACACCAAGCACAATATTATGGCATTAATTCTTATTCAGCTCCCCAGGCCTTACCTTGTACAACTTCAAATAATTTGAACTAATATTTGAGTTCTTCACATAAAGCATTGGTAATTCTCAGCAATTAAGTTTCCTCTCTTCTTTCTACCAGGCGATCCATCCATCTAATGTGCTATATAATGTAAATTTATTGCATCCTTCCTCATTGTGTTGAAATAAATGCCATATTCTATATTAACACAGTTATTGTTAAATCAATGGGATTTTGGGGGCGTTGGTTTCATTCCGAGCTCCACTCACTCACAACCTGCTTCTGCAAATTCGTCTACAATGAAATCAACGTGTCGGCTGTCCTTTTACAGAGATTTAAAAGCAAATAAATACAGGCAAGAGCAGTCAAGTCTAAATTTGAGTTTAAAATCCTTGTCCTTGCCTTTAAAGCCCTCCATGGTCTTGTTCTGCCCTATCTCTGTGACCTCCTAACACCCTACCGACATGTCCTCTCCCTCTACTCGGTGAATACTGGCCTGCTCCACGGCCTCCGCCCTGCTCGCTCCACTATCAGAGGTCGGACCTTTAGCCTTTCTGCTCCCACCCTCTGGAGTTCCATTCTGGAGTCCCTCCACCTTGAGCCCCTCCGTTGCCTCCTTTTGATCTGTCTCAAGACCTTCCTTTTTGACCGCGTCTTTGGTCATCTTCCCGCAACTACCACCTTTGTCCTCCACCCCGCTTGATTCCAGTCCGCAGCTCAGGGGCAAACCCTTGACTGCCTAGCACCTTGGGATGTCTTCCCGATGTGAAATGTGCTGTATAAATCAATTGTTTTTTGTTGTCAAAGTTTTGAATTCTAATGTGGTACATTAAAATGTGGTAAGTCATTTTGTATCACACTTTTTTCAAAGCCTCTTTGATTCCATTCATTTGGTGCAAAACATGAAGATAAAATCAAGCTGCGTGACTTACCTAGCCCAGTAACACAAAATATATTACAACAACCCCAACAACTTGCACTTATATAGCATGCTCCACGTAGGGTAGCGTCTCAGAGTGCTTAACAGTGATGGAGCCTGACTTTGAACCGGCGGGTGGGAGTAAGCACGGTCGAAGAGGAAGGTTTTATGGCAGGACCTGAAAAAGGGGAGAGAGGGGGCAAGACGAAGGGACTGAGGGAGAGCGTTCCAGACTTTCGGCGCATAGTAGCTGAATGCGCGACCCCCAATGGTGGAGCAGAGGGTGTGAGGGATGAGCAGGAGGTCAGTGCCAGTCGAGCGGAGGCGCCAGATGGTGGATTGGGTAGTGAGGACGTTGAAGAGGTTGGGAGATGCCAGAGAATGAAGGAATTTGAACACGTGTGAGGATCTTGAAGTCAACCCGTTCGGTGATGGGGAGTCAGCGGAGTCTGGCCATATTACTGATGCTCTGGACCACAGAACAGTGTGCAAATGGCAATCGGAACAAGTGACCAGGCCAGGCCATTGAAATAGGTAGCACAAATGGATTAACATGGCAACTAATGAGTATCTGGAAAGAGACGATATTGAGGGTTGTAGTGAGAAATCTGGTAATAAAGGTTCAGAACTATGATTATAATAATAATCCTTGCAGTTGATACAGCGCCTTATCATATCTTCAAGACGTCTCAAAGTGCTTCACAGAATATACTGTAAAGTGAATTGACTGTATATTTTGAGGGTGAAACGCAGCAGCCAATTGTGCACAGCAGTGTCACAGTCGTGGATTGAGTAACCAAATTATTTTTATTTATTTTGAAGGAATTATTACTCCTGGAAAAGCGGTCCACCTATCAACTGACAAACAGGTTCCTACTTAATGCTAGGTAAACATAGGCGTGTGGAGTAAGGAAACTTGACCAACATTTCGCTCTGCCAGGAATCAAACCCAGGTCCTCTCGCTTTTGAGGGGAGTGCTCTAACGACTAAGCTATCAAAAAGACAGGACTTATGACATACATTACTGGCTTTCTTTATACTAAAAATTCATTGTTGCAATGAATCTGCATTTGGAGTTTCCTCCTCCATGTTCTTAACACCAGATGCCAGTCAGAGAAATACCAAATGGCTCTTCAAACCAACGACTTACATTTGTGTAGTGTCTCACATCAATGAAATGTTTCCAAGAAAATGCTTGACAGAATCAAATTAATTGGAAGTGAAGTGAATTGCGTAGATAGCCAATAAACTTAAGTTGCACCAGCAACATCTGACAATTCTCCACAGAAAGCAGGAGAAAACTGGATGTCATTTGGGCCACTCACATACTGTAATGGACATCTAAAAAGTAACGTCAACAGGGAGTAGGAAACTACCACACAATTACCCTCTCAGCAGACAGAAAATGACATAAAAGTAAGAACTCAAATTGCTTTCGAGCACAATGCTATTCACTCCCGATAATTAGGGAGTACGTTTTTCGAGGAGTATGTTCAATTCCACTGAATTCATAATTTTCCAGAAGGTTAGTCACCTGATGAATATAGTATTAAAAAGTGTGGAGAAGTCTACTGTAAAACAATGTGGAAAAATCCCTTAGTGGCATTGTGAGCTCAGGGGAGAAATAGATTCTGTGAAAACGAACAGCCCCCGCCACGATAGGGGTCAATCAGGATTTCAAGGCATAGATATGAAGGATAAGTGGTGTGTGCTTACAATTTCAAATACAATCTGACATATGTGTATCAAATGCAAGTATAAACCTTTTTTTTTCACCCCCAAAATTTACAGTCAATTCACTTCACCATATATTCTGAAGGGCTTTGAGATGTATCAACAACGAGATAAGGCATTATTATTATTAATAATATTATTATTTTTATCAGCAAAAATGTTGCAGTCAAGAGGGGTGCCTTCAGCTCCCCTCTCGACTCTCTACCCCCTCCTCGCTCCCTCCCTTCCTTCCGCTCACCCTGACCATTTCCCCCCTGCTCGGGTCCTGACCCAACTGTCCAGCGCCTTGGGATGTCCTCCGGACGTGAAAGGCGTTCTGTAAATGAAATCTTGTTGTTGTTGTTGTAGCAAGGCTTTCTCTGCTTTCATTGATATATCCATACTTGATATCAGCCTGGTTCAGTTACTAGCACTCTTGCCTCTCAATCACAAAGGTTATGGGTCCAAGTCCCATTTCAGGACTTGGAAATCAGTCTGGGCTGACACACGAAAGCAGTCTGACTGGAGTGCTGCATTCTCAGATTTTCCATCCTTTGCATGAAATGTTAAACCAAAGTCAAGTCTATTTTTTCAGGTGGACGTTACAGATTCTATAACACTATTTGGAATGAGAAGAGAGTTTTATCAGGTGTCTCATAATCCCCCAGATAAAGAATTTTTCATTTACTTCAATACTGTTTGTGGTATATCGCTGTGTTCACATTAGCCTCCTACAGTTACTGCAACATTATACTTTACAGAAAATCCTGTGAAGCACTTAGAGATGTTTTAACTTGGTAAGTACTATATCAAATGCAAGGATTATTATTCTTTATTTTTCTATTCTTTCCTGCATTTCGTCTAATCCCTGAATGCAGCTGTCATATTTTAGAGTAACAAATGTTACTGAAGTATCTCAAGGATAGATTGCAAGCTCCATATATTGTTCTATTTAACACAAAATTTTACCCACAAAATATAATTTTAATTCACTTTATAATATATTCTGTGAAGCTCTTTGAGACGTCTCAAAGACGCGATAAGGTGCTACATCAAATTCAAGGATTATTTTTATAAGCAAATAATAAATCAAATGGAAGATAAATAATCTGTACATTGATGAATGCATTTTGCTTCAGTGGTGACTGACCACTGTTTACCCATTAACCACTCATGGACTGGATTTTGCTGGATTACTAAAAATAACAAGTTAATTGTGACATTTTGTGGCATTTGACATAAACACTCGGTCCAACAATCCTTTGCCAGACCAACCACATTCAGTTGCATTTGGCAAACTGACATGACTGCGCACATAATTAGCAGATGAGTTGCAAGCTTTTAGCTCCACAAAAAATAACTATTATTCATCGTAAAACAATGTTATGATTTTACACATAAGGCCATGAGTTTATTACTATATTTTTGTCACTGATTTAAACATTTTGTTCTTTTCCACAAACAGGGTTTATAACTTTTGGGTATTTCTCAAGATAAATCTTTGTGTAAAATTGCAACATTGCAAAAATGCAATTTAGCCATATATGGATTCCCATTTAGTGACATGTGGCTAATATATTGAACAACGCTGCCCTAGTCGCTCTCTTTTATTTTTGTATGTTTGATGTTTAATTTGTTGCTAATAGTATTTTCTGGTGTGTAGAAAATGCGTGTACAAAATAAGGATTTGGACCCTGCTCGAGTCCAAATCCCTGACTGTCCAGCACCTTGAGACTTCCTCCCAATGTGAAAGTCACTATACAAATGTAAATTGTTGTTGTTGTAGGAGCTTGATAACACCACTTGCATTTACACAGCACCCTTCACACGGAGTAGCGTCTCAAGAGTACTGAAAAAGTAATAATCCTTCAAGAGGGAACTAACTTAAAAAGAGTCAGCTACAGGGGCATGGGGAAAGGGCTGATAAAGGCTGATATAATTATTATTATATTATTATTATAAATGGGACTGAAAGCATTGCTTTTGAGGGAGCTGGCCACAGACATGACAGGTTGAATGGTCATCTTCTGTGCTATAACTTTCTGTGGCTCTGTAGTTCTATGTTAGGAGAACATTTCAAATCACTTTACGGGATTTACTGTAAAGTAAAATTACTGGGTAGACTGTACACAAATTCTGCAGCCTATTTGCGAGCACTGCAAGACTGAAGAAATGTCTACTTCTCTAAGCTTCATTGATGAGAAGGAAAATCTGGGCAACCATCAATAATACATTCAGTTGTTGCAGTTATTGCAGTTGTCCCTTGCTTCACTAAGATATGTCTGCTTAGAGCTAGTTGACCCTCAAAGAGACTCTTCCCTCCACAGAAAGATATATGCTGCTTGACCTCAAATGTTTGTAGTCCTGACTGGACTCATTGTTTTTGATCATCCAGATGTCTGAACATGCAGAAATCCATCACCATGCTTAAGAGTATCCAAACCATGCCACCTACATATAGAAATTCCCATGTATTGGAATGGAATGAGCACTCTCCCCCCGGTGGGACACACCCTGCTTACCTAATTCTGCAGAGTATTGGACCATAGGGCTTGGAATGTACTTTGGGTGCTGCTGGAGTTTAACTAACTAAAACCGCATAGCTTACCACCGAAAGCATTGAATGGCAAGCTTCCTACTGCTTGTCCAGCTAGCACCACCCTACGCATTCGGACTTTGGCTTGCAGGATTAACAGGAGCTAAGTGGGAAGAATCCCTGCCACCAGTATTGACTCATCTAAATCTCTTATGGAGAATGGTACATGTAACATCTAAATCTCTTATGCAGAATGGTACATGTAACAATTACATTACTGTATTCCAGAGGTAACAACAGTGAAATTGAAGGAGGAAAAGAAGGAAGGTTGGAAAAGAGTAGTGTTATCCAGATATAATTGAATTAGTATTTTATCAAGGCTCACAATGGTACGACTAACAATTCAAAAGATTAATAGACAAAGAGCACAATATTTAATTACATATATTGCTCACTTCCTGGTTAAAAATGTAGGAACACTAATTGGTGTATTCCATCAATGTGTGATACAATGAACATTCTTTCACTGGACACACCAAACTATAGACATCAGCTGGATATTGAGTGATGCATGCGCTCACAGCACATGTTTTACCTGCTAAACTCTAGGGACCATGGATTTGCACAATGACTAATGCTATGACCTCATTGGCTACAGTTTATGCCAATACGCAGCGGCAAACATGGGACTGCAGTTGTTAGAGCTTGTGTAAGATTCAATTAGACAGTGACAAGAGGTGCAGAATAATACGAATATCTGAGCGAGTCCAAAGGCTGAAATCTATTTGAGTGGCTCTAATAACATAGCAAACAGAGAGATGAATGATTGCGTAATTTATAACCCTTGGATTCAATTATAGGTTTCATCTCACTCCTAGTGTTCCTATTTTACCAAATGAATGGTATTATTTCATGTTTTTGGGCAAACAAATTGACATTTTAGGCATAAAAATGGGCTTTGCTGATTGGAATGTTTGGTCTGGAAAATAACAGCATCACATCAGAGGTACTACAACTGAGTAGCTCTTCACCATTTTATATACTGCTCAATGGAGCATAACAGATGGTTGGCAGTGGATACAAGAAAGCAGTTAGAATGATGAGTTCTGAAGACATTGCAAACCACGAACATGAAGGCTGAGCAGATAACAACATTGTCAGAAGCTGGAGATTCAATTGTTGCCTTTAATTTATCAGATACATTTACACAAAGTGCTTCTTACTACTTATTGTATTTGCTACTGCACCATGGACAATGCTCCACACGATAAAGGTAGAAGCATAGATTACATAAAAGATAATAACAGAACAACGTTTGAGAATCGAAAAGTCTATAATCAAGCTTATTACCAACTGTTACTAAAAAATCTCAACCTACCGATCTACTTTAGTTCTGAATCCTTCGTCTCTAGACAAGTTTGCCTCTGAGCCCATTTTTACTTTCCGCTTCAATGGTCTTCTGCAGTAATTTATTCCACAAATGTATTACCATGTGTCTGAGTATGTTTTGCTTGATTTCCATTCTCGCTCCTAACTTTATAATATAATAACGATAATAATAAAAATAAACCTTGCATTTGATATAGGGCCTTAACATGTCTTTGGGACGTCTCAAAGTGCTTCACAGAATATATTTTAAAGTGCATCGACTGTGTATTTTGTGGGCGAAATGCAACAGTCAATTGTGTACAGCAGTATCCCACAAACAGTCGTGGATTGAACAACCAATTTTTTTTTGAAGGGATGATTACCCCTGGAAAGCGATCACGCAATCTACTAAGAACCAGGTTCCTACTTACTGCTAGGTAAGCAGAGGCGTCTCGATTAAGAAAACATGCCTAAGAATTCACCCTGTCATTTGTAACCTCCGTGCCATGGTATTTGAAGCCTTTGCTACAGTGGAAAACTTGCATGACTCAACATTGTTAAATTTCCTTCTTAATATGGAAAATGGCAGACCAAACGAGAACAGATCCAGCTTCTTGAGATTTTCCTCCTAATTTAATATCCTGCCTGATCCCCAGGATCATCTTGGTTGCTTGTCTCTATAGCTTCTTAGGGAGAATATACTTCCATGAATAGATTACCAGAACTGCACACAGTACTCCTGATGCGGTTTGACCAACCCTTTATTTTAACAATGTCACCTTTATAGTCATATCTGCTACTGCCCAGTGCCTTATTTGGATAAGGAGCCATTTTTCAAATGAATAGTTTTACAGGACTACAATGTTTTAATATTAAGAGAATAAAAGAAAATACAGCACCTTAGCTCTTATTGGGGTAAAACGCATAATGTTTCAGAACAGATTCTGTGCTTTACAGATGAAAAATGTCATGAAAACTATTATTCACACCCATATGTGATACATGAGACTGGAGTGAAGTCAACATCCTCCATTTCAGAAAGGTCCAGAGATCTGTGCTCATTAAAACAAAATGTCAGATGCTTCTCCATCTGTTTCAAACCACTGTTGAACCCTTTACACATGACTCACAAATGCTAAGGTTCAAAATAACCAAAGCATGTTTTGGGATTTGTTAGCATGCATTTGGTCACAAGATGGCACATTGCATAATACATGTGGTATTCCAATTCATTCCATTTAAATGAAAAATAAATATTGGGAAATAAAATGACCAAACCACCTTTAGCATGATTTGCAATCAAACAGTTAACACGCACATTTTTAACCTTAAAGGAAGCTTCCCTGTTATTCAAAATCATGACTGAAAAGCAACACCACTCCTGCTTGTCACACGAGTCACAGAAAACTCAAGTAATGTACTGTATGTGGAAATACAAGAGGTCTGTGCAGTATTTATGTGAAATGGACCTTTCCACTGAGTACATTTGCATTGAAAACATCTGCTTGGCTGCATCACCCTCCCTCCATGAACCCTTCAACCCCACCCAGACCATCCACACCGCCATCTCCCTCCACCATGGCTCCTGCCACTCCTCCCTCCTTACACTCCTTTGTCCCCATTTCTGACTACTCCCTCTCAACCACAACCACCCGGATGTAGTTCACCACTTGTTATCTCGAACCCCTCCCCACCCAGCTGCTGCTCACTCAACTCCCCCTTCTCTACCCCCTCGCATCCTCCGCCCCACCATCGGAGGTCATGCTTTCAGCGACTACGCCACAAAACTATGGCCCATTTTCCCTCAATCCCTCCACGTTGCCATCTCTCTCTCGCCTCTTTCAGGTCCCGCCTGAAAACTTTCCACTTCGACTGTTCTAACGGCCACCTCCCCCGTTCCCTCCCAGTTCGGAGTCAGGGTCCATCACTGTTAAGCATTCTGAGACACTACCCTGCATGGAGGGCCCTATATAAGTTCAAATTGTTGTTGTTGTATATCTCAGCAGAATTCAGTCGCCAGTTTTGCGACAAAGGTGACAGAGAGAGAGAGAGAAAATAAAAAAAACCTGGTCAACTATTTTCCAGTTCCCAAAAACACTTAAACTTGCTCACTCACTGCTTTGGATGCAAAGCAAATGAACTAACTACAGTATCCATCTACCTGGATTATTACAGCACATGTGACTTGCGTTGGTTAAAGCCATTTAATTTGCTGGTACAGTATTTCATGGACCCTTACCAGAGTGTTGTTCAAAATTATGCCCGTCTCACGTCTAGCTTTGCTCCTTAAATCTTCCTGAAACGTCAAATATGTCGGGTCCTCTGGCTGCCGATAGGTAATGATCATAACAGACTGAGCAAGGTGGAGGGGGGGGAGAGAGACAAAAAAAAACATAGATGATCTCAGTTAGAGCGTGTGCATGTGTGATTCACTGAGCAACTCACTTCGCTGCTGGTCGGGGTTGGGGAAGAGGGGACAAAGAGCAACTGAGCAAGATCATCATTAACATTAACATCAGTAACCGAGCAAAGCGCCAGGTCTCGGCGATGGCAGTGGTGGTCTGGGGAGTTTGAGGGGAGGGGACAGGGTTGTGGATTTTGAACACTGTTCGCACACTCAGCTTGTACTTTTGCAACAAATGTCGTTTAAAAGCCATTCATTCCATTGCAAGGCGAAAAAAAAACCGTCACAAAAATAACAAAACTGGAGGGTTAAGATCCTGCAAGTGACTATCAATGTGGAGACAGTATTTATTTGTGTGAGGTGCCCAATGCGCTCTTATCTTTGCGATAAGTGCCCCCATTCATTCCTTTTCCTGTGATTACAACGGAATTGTGAGTGTGTTGGCAACTGTAAACCTACATGAGAGTGAATGGCTTGTCGGTTTCAACCATTTGGATTTCAATTTCCATCTCACCTCAAAGTTCCACCGTTTTGTATTACATTTCACCGCCCACAACCCCCCCCCCCCACCCCACCCCACCCTCTCCTCCACCTGGCAGGAAAAATACATAACACTGAAGGCAAAAAATAAAACAAGGGAGATATAATATTCACTCTGGATCAAGGCGCATTTGCACCAGTTGTTTACACGCGTTTCCAACCAAACACACAATGCGTCGAAGCCAAGAAAACACCAGGGTTGTTGGTTGGGATGCGAGGATTCATACAAAATGATGGGTTAAAAAAAGAAACGTGCATACTTCGAAAGCTTTCTTGAGGATCTCCTCATGGCTGTCGTTGGTTTGCCAGAGTCTGTAGGACCCTCCGGGCGATTGCGAATTCCCTCTGAGACTTTCCCCAAACACATCCACGTAGAAAAAGACATAGTCCCCACCCGTCAGTCCCTCTTTATGGGCGTACAACATGATCTGGCGTAAACCTTCGAAGGGAAGACATATATACACAACTGGGGGTGGTGGGGGAGGAGAGGAGGGAAGGGAGAGACATTTTGATAAATTAAAAGCCACTTCGTACAGAAATCAACACCTTTAATTCAGATTAATATGCTTTTCTACGTCCCGTCTCCACCCCCCCACCCCCCCCACACACAAACACACACACTTCCCCACTTGACTCTTACCCAAAAGGTGACTATTTCTTTCTCTCAAACATAGAGCAAATCCACTCTTTAGATAAAAGGGTTGAATTTTGAATTATTATTTTTAAAACAAATAAAATCAAACCCTTTTAACTACAAATATTAAACCGTTTGTGCCAAACAGGTATACAATAAAAGTACCATGTCAAATGCAAGGATATATTCGCCCACAAAATATACAGTCACTAATACTTTACAGTAAATTATGTGAAACGCTTTGAGAAGTCTCAAAACGAGATAAGGCACTATAACAAATGCAAGGATTATTATTATTATTATTGCGCATCGAATAGTCATTTAGGGGCTGACTGACTGTCACTTTGTTACCCAGATTCAGGTGATGCATTGCTTATTACATGAACTATATTAATTCTTGCGTTTAATTAAATCAGCGCCTGAAACATCGAAAGGTCTCAAAGGGCTTCTCGAACAATTGGTGTCAAAGTGCAGTGACTGTTCATTTGCTCTTTTTTTTCCCGGTTTGCCCCAGGAAAGTGCTACAAGTTTCCTAAAGCGTCGTGAAGTCAGGAAGTCCCCTTGTTTTTCCCCCCTTTTTAAAAATAAAAAATATATATAAAAAAAGGAATAAAACCAGTAGTAGTAAAACGTTTTGGTTCAACGACTTGGAAATAAATGTCAAGTTGCAAAATCAGCTCAAGGAAATGATAAGTCATTGTGTAGAAGTTAAGGGGAATTAATGTACTCTGCAACCAGGCGTATCTCTTGCGATATAATATACGCAAAGTCTGGGTCTTAACCCATGCGCATTGAGCTCCGATTTCTTTGTTAATTTCTCTCATTGGAGCTTCATTTAGCGCTGACACCGCCAAAGCAGTTAAACGTGGTGTCAAGATCCGACAGGGAATTTTCAAGACGACACTCATTAACTAACTTCCTCGCCAGTTTGCAATGCCAGAGTGTTAAGACTTAAGAGAATAAGTTACACACGACTTTTCCAAACCGTGCGTTGTAGTTCTGGGTTTCGTATTTGGTGCGTGTAGCGCAGTGCCTGGTTTTATCTTTTTTTTTTACCACACACCAAAAAAAAACGGGTTCAGAATCAAAAGTGCAAAGGTTTCAGTAATTTCCCCCCCAATCAATCTCCAAGACTTCGACCTAAAATTTATATCAGTCATTGCTCTCTCTCTCTCTCTCTCTCTCTCTCTCTCCTCCCTCTCTCTTTGGGTCTGAATGATGTATATATGGGCCACAGTTCAACAGATAGTTGTAACGAAAGAGATGGTTTTTTTCCGCTGGGTTTAAAAGTACATTTTGAACGGGAACTGAATAAAACAATCAACGACTTGAAAACCACACACAGAAAAAGAAAGCAAAACGTGAGATAATTTAACTAACAGCCCCCCACCCCCCCCCCCCCCCACCAACCCCAACACATACACAACCCCCCCCCTCACCAACCCCAACACATACACAACCCCCCACTCCCCCCACCACCCCACCCCCTCCCCAGCTCTGATCTGCAGCGAATAAGGTGCGTATGTAGCAAAATAATTTCTCAACGAGTTGCCTCCTAAAAAAAAAGATAAGAAACCCTTTTTTGTCTCTCTCTCTCCCCCAACCCCCCCCCCATCACTCTCTCTCCCTCCCTCCAAGGCCCTTTATTCCCGGAGAGGCGCCGATGGGCGCTCTCTCTCCCACACACACTCACTCCGGCTGTGCTGTTTGATGAAGTGCACGATGGCCAGGATCTCGGTGTGGTCCAACTGCTCCTCGGTGTTGCTGAACACCGTGATGTTGGGGAACTCGTACTCCAGGGACGTGTAGATGCCCTCGGTCATGAAGAAGAAAGGGCGGTCGTCCCTCTTGATGTCCAGGTAGATCAGGGCGGCCCTGGAAGTCCAGTTGAAGGTCCAGTGGAGGTGGCTGATGAACTCGCCCAGTTTGGGATAAGCGGGTCCGGTCCTAATGGTGGTGTTGAACTCTCCCGTCTTGTTGGAGAAGCCGTAAGCCGAAGCCCCGGCCGTGACCAGGGGCACCTTCCAGTGGGTGGCGAGACGGGCCACGGGGGCGGTGGTGTAGATGCAGCCGGGACCCACGAACACGTCGGGGTCGTACTCCAGCTTCAGGTCCACGGCGTGGATGGGCGCCAGGAAATCGGCGCACTTGCCGTCCTGCTCGCTGCTCATGAACTTGTAGGTCAGGTGGTGGTCCCTCAGGAGGCTCCGGTCGCCGTTGATCTTCTCGATGGCCAGTCGGATGGCCGGTCCGACCCTCGGCCAAGCCCAGGCGTACTCGGTGTTGTTGTGAGGCAGGACGATGGCGATGTTGACGCTGGTGTTCCCGGACCCCGACCCCCGCCATCGCCCCCCCGGGCTGCCCAGAGAGGAGCGCAGGAGCAGGAGCAGGAGGAGGAGGAGGGAGGGGAAGGAACTCCGGGGGCAGGTCAGCTTCATGGTTGCATGGAAAACCCCAGGACCAGAGGGATAGGAGAGGGAGAGAGGGAGAGGGGGAGAGAGTGGTAAAGTGAGAGACTGAGAGGGAGAGAGTGGTAAAGTGAGAGAGAGAGAGAGAGAGGGGGGGGGGGGGGGGGGGGGCAGTGATAAAGAGAGAGAGGGGGGAAAAAAGGGGGAAAAAAGAGAGGAAAGATATCAAGGTTGCAAACTAAGGGGAAAAAAAAACTATAATGATATATAAGAGCTTCTTATCTATTGACCCCCTCTCAAAAGTAGTGAGGAATTGAGTTGAAGGAAATGATGTTCTGTTTTTTTTTCTTTTCTTTTTTCCCCTTCTTTTCTTTTTTTCTTTCTTTTTTTTCTTTCTCTCTCTCCTTTCGGCTGTTTTTTTCTTTCTTTTTTTCTCTTTCCTCTCTCTCTCTCTCTCTCTCTCTGTGTGTGTCTCTTCTTTTACTTTCTTCTTCTTCTTCTTCTCCTCCTCCTCCTCCTTCTTCTTCTCCTCCTCCTTCTTCTTCTTCTTCTTCTTCTCCTTCTTCTTCTTCTTTCCGACCCCTCTCCCCCCCAATAAAAAAAAACCCTGTTTTTTTGTTGTTTTGCTTTTTTTTTCCTCTTCCCTCACCCCCCACCCACCAGTCACCACCCCCCACCCACCAGCCTTACGGGATTGCTGTCCCTCAGCACACACGACCCCCTCGTGTCTTTCCCTCCATAATATTGGAGTGGTTGGAGGTTCAGTCGCACTTCATCCTGTGTCTGTCTGTCTGTCTGTCTGTCTGTCTGTCTGTCCTATGGTCGGCGAGTCTCTGTCTGGAGGAGATGTGGACAGACTCTCGGACTATTCATCTTTCCCCTGTGTCTGTCTCTCCCTCTCTCCAAACCACATCGATCCTCTCGAAAAAAAAACCCACCCCACCTGACTGACTATTACCATAGTCCTCCCCTCCCTCTGCTCCAGTGCAGCACGTCAGCGTCAGGGCAGCCGCTCGTGTGTGTGTGTGTGTGTGTGTTTTTACACCCCCCCCTCCACCCTCCCACCACCCACCAAACCCAGGGCTTAAAGCGCCATCTACCAGACACAGCTCTCACACTCACTGTGTTCAGCCTCTGCACCCCATGGCGTTCACCAAATACAAATATTCCCAACAATATTAGGAGGCATCGTGTGTGCTTTTTTTTCCCCCTCTGCCCCCCCCACCCACCCACCCACCCACCCACGATGCCTCCTAATCGTGGCATTGTGTTTCTTTCTTTCTTTTTTTCTTTCCTTTCGTATTATTATGTCGTTGAGACGTCTCAAAGCGCTTCACAGAACATACCGCACAGTAAATTGTGTATTCTGTGAGCAGAAATCTTGGATACACTCCGCCCAAAAAACACTTTTGAAATGTTTAGCTGATTTGATTGACTCACTTTGTTAGTTCGGGGGTCTATCTTTGTATAGTTGGGTAAATGCAGGTAGATTGAAGGTCTGATGTTTCTGGAATCCATTCCAACTGTATTTTTAAAAAAATAACTTTTTTTTTGGAAGGGAGGGGAGAACTCACAATAAAATGCATAATAAATGTAATTAGCATAAAATATACTTGTGTAACAATGTTAAGGATTTCCTAACCACCTGGAAGTGGGATTTAAGATCGATCTTCCCCTCTCCCCGATACTGGCAGACCAATCCCCTGTGTGTTTTATATACAGAATGCAGCCTTTCTACAGATTAGAGGCTGTGTTTAATGATCACCTTAATAAGTTCAGCCTTGTTTTAAGCCTTTGGTGTTTCCAGTGAGTGAAATCAAAGAAGAGGAAAAAAGCACAACAGTCACACAGCATCAAACAAACCAGCTCAGTTGGCATTTCCGCCTAAAAAAACTACACAGTCACTCCATTTCAAGGTGAAAGGTGTGTAGCGCTTTGAGATGTCCTTTAGACGTGAAAGGCGCTGTATCAAATGCAAAAATCATTATTTTATTATCATTTCAAAGGCATAGAACTTTACCCCTCCCCCTCCCCAATATCGATGCACTAACCTTAGGAGACAAAAATGCCTCAACAGACTATTTTTGGCAGGACACCAGATGGTCAGTTAGTAGACTGAATTTCTGAAGGCTCCTACCCTGCCCTTTTAGCAAACTTATATATAGATTTAAGATGGACAAAAGCCTGCCTATTACTGTTAATGGATTGGAAACTTGGGGCTTGCAGAATGGCACCTGTTTACATTCTTTAAAGATCAGCATGATTCTGCTTTGATCCCTTTAAAAGCAATGGACAGGAACAGTCCACCTGTCCAACAGGAATGGAAAAAATGAATAGCATGATCATCGTAAAACCCAAACATCTGGAACAGGACAACAAAGATTAGATACAGTCACTATGGGTAATCTCAATCTGTAATAGATTCATTACTTCCTTCTCTGTGACCTTAACTGATGTGACAAATGTATTTAAATAAACTGGCTTAGAATTAAACTATTTTTATTAAACTTTTTCTTTAATAAATACTAAAGATTTTATTTAATAAATACGAATTATTTCAGTGAGTGAAATCAAAGAAGAATAAAAAAGGAAAAATATATAATTTATTATTTATATAATAAAACATTCAGTATAATCTCTGCCCCACACAATTGTTTTTCATTTCCTTGCAGCATTCATTTTCCTCCCTCACTCTTACACACACACAACCCAAACCAACCCCTCCATATGGAAAAAAAAGGCATAATTACTAGAGTTTTCAATTCGTGTGAAACAATTTTTTTAAGATAAAAAAAATTATAAGTACAGAGTCGGCGAATTTTTAAAATAAAATATATAGAAACGTTCAGCTTGAAACAGTCCTGAAATGTGTTATAAAAGAATTGCATGGGTCACACACTGTATCTCACTCGGTTCTCTGGTGACTGATGGCAGTAAGCTATGAAAGTGCTTGAATGCGAACAACAGGAGAGAGAGAAAGAGAGACAGAAAAATCTGTGATGGTTTGAGACTGCAGAAAATATGTCAGCTACAACTGCGATCAATCAAACCTGATCAAAAAGCTGCCACACTTGTTGAAGCAGTGAATCAAATCGCTTATCGCAAAACAGTTTGTTACACTCTTTAAACAAGTGTGAATTAAAGGCATGGAATTATACATACAGTAACTGTATCAGGTAAGGGTTGATATAGTAGTTATCTTTACAGCACTGCTTTGCGAAGATCTGTGCCCGTAGATCATTTATAATACTTTATTTGCATTTATGTGTTAAAACAGTGACCGATTTTGCACAGACATTAGCAATGATTTGGTTATTAATTTGCAACATCAGGGAACATGTCCAACTCAGGCCACGATTTCCAATTAACTAATGTAATATCGCTTCCATATTAAATAAAACAATAGGATTAACTGTATAGTGTAATGCAATGTAAGTTCTGCTTCTTGCCAGGAAGAGTGAGCGTATATTATATGTCAAAGTTCCAATTTGAACAGCCAAACCCCATCATTATATTGCAATTTAGTAGCATCAAACTCCAGTATCATAGTGTAAGAAATAATTAGGTCTGGTTCCTGTATCTCTGAATTAAATGTTTTCATTTGACATAGCGTTTGGGTTTTCACATCAGGAGAACCTCTCAAAGTTCTTCACAGGATTTAATATGAAGTGTAATGACTGTTTATTTTGTGGGGGAATGCAGCCGTCAATTTGCACATGTACCCAAAAAGTCAATGACCACTTTTTTAGTAGCCAGACCATTGGGAGAAACTCTGTTCTCTTTTTGAATAGGGCTGGGGGATCCTTAACATCCATCTGAACAGGCAGAAGGGACCCTGATTTAACATCACATTTGAAAGATTATTTAAGAAACATCTTAATTCGAATCTGGAATGCATTGTGGAGTCCTGTAGCTCAGTGGTTAGAGCACTCGCTTTGCAAGCGAGAGACCTGAGTTCAATTCCAGGCAGAGGGCGAAACCTTGGGCAAGTTTCCTTACTCCACACAGAGCCTAATAATAATCCCTCCAAAACCAAAAACAATAATAAAATTGGCATTTTCAATCTACGACTGTTTGTGGGACATTGCTGTGCGCAATTGGCTGCCGCGTTCGCCCACAAATTTACAGTCAATTCACTTTACAGTGTATTCTGTGAAGCGCTTTGGGACGTCCTTCCGACGTGAAAAGCGCTATATCAAATGCAAGGATTATTATTATTATTATTATTATTATTGCCTGAAAGGGTGGTGGAAGCCGATTCAATAACAACTTTTAAGAGAGTAGATAATTATTTGGGCAGGACAAGTTTGCAGTGCTATGGGGAGATAGCGGGGGAGTGGGATTGAATTGGAATAGCTCTTTTCAAAGAGCCGGCACAGACACGACGGGCTGTATAATTCTATGATTCTATGATTTAGAATTATATAAGCAAGATAAATTAGTTCACTATTTCAAACCCTTTCAAGCTATTTTGATGTGTTTTTTATATAATACCCAAATGTATTCAAATGCTCTGCTTATTTTACAACTAATCATGAGAATTCCCGATTGAAGGTTATTTTGAAAAATCTTAAACTTGTTATTTTCTTCTTTGAGGCACGGGGTCCTTTTTTTTCTCAGACACAGTCTGCCATCTGCTGGCCATTTTCAAGTTAATCAATGTTTACTTTCCCCTATGGAAAGTCGAATGCAGTATTCGGTGAAATTCTGGGTTGGTTTAATAATAATAATCCTTGCATTTGATATAGCATTTTATCACTGTATCAAGGCATCTCAAAGCACTTCACAGCAATTACTGTGGAGTGTAGTGACTGTATATTTGTGGTTGAACACTGTGGCAACCAATTTGCGCACAGCAATGTCCTACAAACAGCCACAAGTGAATGACCAATTTTATCTGGGGGATTGTTGGCCAAGCCACAGGGAGAAAACTCACTTGTCTTTTTGAATAGTGCCACAGGATCTTTAATGTCCATCTGAACAGGCAGACAAAACCTGGTTTAATGAGTTCTTTAAATTGAAAACGTCCA